AACCCTAAACCCCTAAACCCTTCAGGATCCACCTTCGAGTTTGGGAGCCCCAAGTGCCCCTGCGTCGGTGTCGCGGGCCTGGATGGAACCACGGAGGTCAAGGTGTCGAAGCGCCAAGGCGGCAAACAAAAGAAGTTAGGGGCCTTATAATAAGTACCTATATCATTTTGGGGGGTTTAGGTCTAGGTTTTAGGTTTTAGGGTTTAGGGTTTAGGGGTTTAGGGTTTAGGGTTTAGGGTTTAGGGGGGTTCCTTATGATAATTATAGTATAATGGGCCCCAAAACATTATTCTAATTGTTCAAGCCCCTACATTACGGTTCTGGCGTGCATTGCTTCGTGTCGACATGCGCTGTATGATATATGTTTGGGGTTTCACCGTATCCTGTGTATATATTTGACCTGTTGTCGTTAGAGCTTCAACGTCCCCTTACCGGTGCAGTGTGCTTCCAAAACGCCAATTTAGTGAGCTAGGACCAGCACCCGTTATTAAGGGGTTGCTGCGCAACCTCACTATTACCCCACTATGTATAAAATACCTTATGAAACAAACCCTAAACCCTAAATCCTAAACCCCTAAATCCTAAACCCTAAACCCTAATTAAAAAGCCTATACAAAGCAAAAAAAGGAACATGACGGCAGACTTCCCGGCCGACTTCGGCGCTCGCTGCGCTGCCTGGGCCCTTGGGCGAAGAAAACGGGTTTTTGGGTTTTTGGGTTTTTAGGGATTAGGGTTTAGGGTTCAGGGGTTTAGGGTTTTTGGGTTTAGGGTTTAGGGGTTTAGGGCCGTTTAGGGTTTAGGGGTGTAGAGACTCCGAAATTCCGCAATGGGGTAGTTCTCTAAATTAGGGCCCTTTTTTGTCAGGTCCCAAAGATACTACGGCAGGCACATTTATAAAAAAGGAAGCCTACATGGGACCCTGATATAGAGAACTACCCGAATGTTCAAAATACCCACAAGTCATAGCAAGAATCCCTGGATAATCTACGGTGCGTTCCTTAACTATCTGACCTCTGCAAAGTCCTTGAAAAGGACACTAGCAGGAAAGGCAAGAAATTATATATGCGTAAATATCTACACATTCATATATATATATATATATATATAGACATACTTACACATATCTTGTCTGTTCTGTTTGTGTATATAGTATGTATATCCCTTCTATTTGTTTGTCCGTCTGTTAAAGTTTGCGTTTGTCTGTCGGCCGGTCTGTCTGTACCTTAGTTCATTTCTGCGTGTATGTTCTGCTTCCTAAACCCTAAACCCTAAACCCTAAACCCTAAACACGTGCCCCGTTACCTATTGCTCTCCCAAGATCATCGTATTGCACAGACTGGGAAACCGATGCCTGTGTAGATGCAACCAGGAGAGGCCCCAACAACACGAATACCCTGAACCCTAAACCCTAATCCCTACACTCTTCGACCCTAAACCCTAAACCCTAAACCCTAAACCCTAAACCCTAAACCCTAAACCCTAAACCCTAAATCCTAAACCCTAAACCCTAAACCCTAAACTGTGGTTCCCGAGAATCCTCAAGGCTAGTCCTTTCTCTGGCCTCTGCCATGGCAAGGACAACAAGCGCAACGGTGCCTACTGCATGCCTGGCCAGGATCCAGGCCTAGGGGGCTTAGGGTTTTTGGGTTCAGGGTTTAGGGTTTAGGGTTTAGGGTTTAGGGTTTAGGGTTTAGGCTTTAGGCTTAGGGTTTTTGGGTTCAGGGTCTAGGGGCTTCAGAGGTTTAGGGGTCTAGGGGTTTAGGGTCAAGGGGTTTACGGGTTTATGCAAGCAGTCATCAGACACTCCGAGCGAGAGCGACGCGGTTTAGGCTTTAGGGTTGCAGAAGGCCTCTAGACAAGCTGTTTTTATAATGGAAAGCCGACATCCTAAACCCTCTTGGGGTGAGCATCCTGCAGAAATTTCAGAAAAAGGGGCGCCCATTGCACCTTTAAAAAAAAGCCTTGTATCCCAAAGGGTCCAAGTTATAGTTTATAGTATATACTTTTGGGGCCCAAATACCTACAACGTAGCTACCATATTACTACTTGGACCTCTTTACTGGTTCGTATCTGTGCTTAAGAAACCCCGACTAGAGTGGTCAGGATCCGGGTCTGAGCTTGGAGTTGGGGTAGTGGTTCAAGATTTTTGGGGCTTTAGTTCTAGGTAGTAGTATTAGGGGTACCCCTTAAAGGGTACCCCTTCTGAACCCTACTTTTGGCTCTCTTAAAAGGGACCTTATTGAGAGGGTCTCTATTCCCAAGGGTCCCCCTAATCCTAGCTCCCATAGTTCGGGGTTTAGGCATTTTGGGGTTTATAGGTTCAAAGGAGGGTTTCGGGTTTAAGGTGCTCAGAGAGACTGTGGAGAAGGAGTTCTAGTGGTTTGATGTGGGTATTTCGGGTATAGACCCTAAACCCTAAACCCTAAACCCAAACCCTAAACCCTAAACCCTAAACCCGCGTTGCTTGTTGGTTCTGTGGTTTGTGCGTTTACGGTCTCTCAGCTTCCGGATCTGGGTGCACTTAAGCTCGCACTAATTCATCCCAGAGAGCAAGATCCCTGAGCTCTATCTTTCTGCAGGTTATAACATAGGAGCCGTATAATAATTAGAATAGGATTTGGGGCTATATTATACTATAACTGTAATGAGGAGAGCCCCCCCCCCTCCCCCCCAACTAAAAAAGAAAAGATTCTACTTAATTAAGGCCCCTACATAAGGGATCTTGAAGTTTAAATCCGAAACCTGACTCTTCTTTCGGGTTCAGGGCTTATAGGGCTTATAGGGTTTAGGGTTTATAGGGTTTAGGGTTTATAGGGTTTAGGGTTTAGGGTTCAACAATAAAGCTTAAACCCGAATGACCTACTCAGGATTGCTTAAAGCCTGCAGCAAAGCC